TTCCCATCCTGCATGATGGCCGTGCCGCTGTGGGGACACAGGGACATTGGGGACACCGTGGGGACATTGGGGACATCGTGGGGACATTGGGGACATCGTGGGGACATCGTGGGGACATTGGGGACACAGCCCGGACACAGCCATGGGGACACGGGGACACAGGGACAGGTCACAGCCGTGGTTGTTCCTCATGGTGTTCCCGTCCTGCATGATGGCCGTGCCGCTGCGGGGACATTGGGGACACTGGGGACACCGTGGGGACATTGGGGACACCGTGGGGACACAGCCCGGACACAGCCCTGGGGACATCAGGGACACCTCAATGGGGACACGGCCATGGGGACACCAGGGGGACACCAGGGGGACACCTCCCTGTCCCCTGTGCTGCAGTGCTTGGGGACAATTGGAGACACTTGGGGACACACACAGACCCTTGGGGACAATCAGGGACCCTTGGGGACACACGGGGACCCTTGGGGACCCTTGGGGACACACAGGGACTCTGTGACCCAGCAGAAACCCTTGGGGACACCGGTGACCCTTTGGGGACATCGGTGACCTCTTGGTGACACCCAGGACAGGAGGGACAAACAGAGACCCCCAGGTGGCCCTTGGGGACATTGGTGGCCCCACCTGAGCATCCAGGTGTCGTAGTCGATGTCCGTCATGGTGTTGGGGAACTCCAGGTCCTCGGGGCGGATGGCGGTGACACCTGGGGGGACACGGGGACACCGCGGTCACCCCGTGTGTCCCCCGGTGTCCCCGAGGTCCCCAAAGTCCTCCATGTCCCAAAGCCCCAATGTCCTCAACATCCCCAATGTCCCCAAATGTCCCCAACCCCTGCAAAGTCCCCAAAGTCCCCGATGTCCCCCTGATGTCCCCAATGTCCTCAATGTCCCCGATCCCCAATGTCCCCAACCCCCCAATGTCCCCAATGTCCCCAAGCCCTAAACGTCCCCGAATGTCCCCAATGTCCCCCCATTGTCCCCAGTGTCCCCCAATGTCCCCAATCCCCTCTATTGTTCCCCCAATGATCCCAAGGTCCCCCAATGTCCCCCAGTGTCTCCAATGTCCCCCACAATGTCCCCTCAATGTCCCCAAGCCCCAAATGTCGCCAACCCCCCAATGTCACCTCAATGTCCCCAATGTCCCCAAGCCCCAAATGTCCCCAATGTCCCCGATGTCCCCAGTGTCCCCACAATGTCACCTCAATGTCCCCAATGTCCCCAAACATCCCCAATGTCCCAAACCCCCTCAAGGTCCCCCCGATGTCCCCAAATGTCCCCCCCGTGTCCCCTCACCGGCCTCGATGGACCCCGACCATCGATCCACCATCTTCTGGATGACGATCTCGAACAGCTCCCCGTCCCGCAGGGCCCTGCACCCCAAAAATCCCCAAAAA